TTAGCACCGTAATGAAGAATTAGACACATGTGCAAAGTGTGTGGCACTCAGCATATGACTCATTACTGCCAAACTTGGGGAAGTGGTCAACCAGAGTTAACAGTAAGAGCAGGGAGTTGAGAAGAAACGATGCCAGAAGCAGCACTTGAAGGGCAACACAGAGGAAGAGGGGCTGGCACAGGCATTAGAAGAACGCTAGAGAAGAGCAGAGACCAGCCACTCAGAGGCCAGAAAGGAGTGGGCAACTGCGTCAGATGCCACAGAAATTGACTGACTTAGGGGGCATTTCACTTGGTTACTAGGAATCCACTCATGACTTGGTGAGTACTACCTCAGGGAACAAGGAAGAGCTGGGTGTGGTAGTGTACACCTACAATCCCTGCACTTGGGGGGCAGAGGCAGGAGGCTCACAGTGAGTTTGAGGCTAGCCTGGGCTACCTAGTGAGCTTAGGACTGGCCAGAAGTACAGAGCAAAACCCTGTCTTAAAAAGAAAAGAAGGTGCAAGGGCTGGGGGTTTGATCCCCAGGCCTGCTGTTGGCCCTGCCCCCAGGGCATGCTGAGGTGGCCATTGAGACTGGGCATGGTGGCAGGCGCCTGTAATCCCAGCTCTTGGGAGGCTGTAAACAGGCAGATCACTACGAGTCCAGTCTAGTAGTGAGACTCTGAACACCCTGTAGACACTTCCCTAAAAAATACAAACCAAAAAAAAAAAAAAAAAAAGGAAAAGGAAGGAAGGAAGGAATTCCAACTGCATGAGGAGTGAGCGGGCTTAGGTGATGATGAAGATATGTGCTACGCTCTTTTTGGAAGGCTGGCTCAGAACGGGAAGGACAAAGGTGATCTGGGAACTGGGAGACACCTGATGGAAGGAAGGTTTACTCAGGTTCAGAGAGTAGCTAAAAGCCAGAGAGAGGAAGTGAGAAAAGAAAGAGCCAGAAAGAAATATAATTAGCTATGGGATCTTAAGAGATTGGCAGACATAGAATCCAGGGAAATAGATTAATGATGGAGAGATACTGTTTAATTTTTTTATCATTTTAAAAAGTCTTATTTATTGGATACAGGTCTCATATGCAGTTCAGACTCGTAGTGACCTTCCTATCTCAGTCTTCCCAGCACTAGGATTACAGGTGTGTGCCACTGCACATGTAGTACCAGGGATGGAACTTGGGTCCTTGCACTTGCCAGGCAGGCATTTAGACAACCAAGCTATCTCCCCAGTGCCCAAGAGATGCTGTTTATTGAACCAATAGTTTAGTAACTATGAAGATGTTAGATTCCCATCAGGACTGTAAACCTGTCTACTATGCCTTTCTTTTGTATTCCTATTTCTCTTTTTTATGTCTGGAAGATTAAATTAATTTATTTATTTTGGAAGACTAAATTCTTTTAGTAATCATCCAATAATAAATACAACTCATGGAATCCTTTTAAATAGTATTCCAAGCTGTTTGCGTGTGTGTAGGTATTGGGGTTCGAACCCAGGGCCTTCTGCACGTTGTACAAATGCTCTATCTGAATTTAACTCAAAAGCAAACACAAGGGCTGGCCAAATAGCTGAGCGGATTAAAGCACCTGCAAGCAGGCACAGGGGCCAGGGGTTTGAACTTGGGGCTGCTGTGCGGGCCCTGTCCCCAGGGCCCACTGAGACAGCGATTAAGACTGGGCATGGTGGCACACGCCTGTAATCCCAGCTCTTGGGAGGCTATAAACAAGCGATTCACTGAGTCTGATCTAGTAGTGAGACTGTGAACACCCTGTAGACCCTTCCCCAAAATACAAAAAAGAAAACACCACATTTAATTCTAATTAATTATATTTTAAAGTTGGGAAGACATTTCTCTTTTAAGGCAAGGAAATAGTTTTACTACTTTAAAGGAATTAAATTAGCTATCTCTACTTAATTGAGAATTTGACCCAGGGGGCTGAGGCATTTAGGTCTAGGCAGGTTTGTCCTAAATTCAGATTATATACTATACAATTCTTCCATAACCTCTATTTGTACTACTTGATCTGGGGAGAAGATACTTTATAGAACTATAATCAAGCCTTATCAGGTTGCCACTGAATTTTTGAATTAGTGTCCATACTGAGAAGAGTTATTTATCTGTTCTACAAGTCCTTCTTTGCAGCTTGGCTACATTGGTTGCCACAAGAAATAAAGGTAATGAATGTCTCCTCTATTGAAAAGGACAGTAAGAAGAGATTCAGACTAGAGACATGTTTGAAAGACTGAGCTAGAAAGGTAAAGCGTGAGACCTGTGGTGGCAGCTCCTTTGAAGGCTGAAAATGAGGATCACTACGAGTATGAGCTGTGTAGTGAGACCCTGTACCAAATACATTAAAAAAAAAAAGAAAGTGTCAGTAGAAGGGGTTTCCTTCTTTCATTTATTCATTTTTGTTTTTGTATTTTAGAGAAGGGTCTATATGGCATTCAGAGTCTCACTACTAGATCAGACTCATAGTGATCCGCCCGTTTACAGCCTCCCAAGAGCTGGGATTACAGGCGTGCATCACCACGCCCAGTCTCAACTGCCATTTCAGCGTGCCTGCCCCAGTGCAGGGCAGGCTGGCAGTCCTGGGGACTGAACCCCTGGCCCCTGTGCCTGCTTGCAGGTGCTTTAATCTGCTGAGCTATTTGGCCAGCCCCCTATCTGTCTTTAAAAAAACAAACAAATAGCATGTGTGCCATGATGATATAAGGGAAGGAAGTCTCAACCTCTTAGATGTCTGGTACCAGTTTGTGTTCTCTAAAATCAAAGAATGAATTTTAGGAACAGAGGTTAAGAGCAGAATATATTTACTGGGGGAAAGAAAGATTTTGTTTAAAAGAGAGACAGAAGGGGTCCCTAGCAGATTGCCAAGAAACCTGTCTTTCTAGGGATTTTTATACAGCAAATCCACATGAGGTTGGTGCAGTGAAAAAATAGGAAAAAAAAAAAAGTGAAAAAATAGGAAATTGCAAGGTGGGACAAAACTATGGTCCACTAATAAGATTACAAGTATAATTGCTCAAGTAAAATGGACTACATTGGGATTGAATGGGGAAGCAAGTAGCAAGTGGCGCGCAGATACAGAACAGGAGCTCTTCCAGTAGGGGGCTGGGTTAGTGGCTCTCCCTGGCTTTCACAAGGTGCTGCATACCTATTTAGAATATCAATCCCTCATGTTTATTCTTAGGAAGTATGTAGCTGCACTTGTTTTATCTTTTGTCTTGAGGTCTGGCCCACAGCAGGAGGTGCCTGTCTCTCCCACTGTTGCAAGGTATTGGTCTTCTGCATTGGCTCCTTCGAAGGCTTAGCCTATCTGACTATAATACCCTATTTAACTTAGTTGCCTGTAACACTAAGTCCATCACCACTGTTATACAGTGAAAATTCTCTCAGGGCCTCCTGCAAGGTGTGGCTCCAAGCCACTCCCATCTCAAGTCACACAGTGCTGTGTCTTTAAGTTCTATTCACACTTTGGGGTTTTTAAACAGTTCACATACTTTGTTGGGCTACCTTAGGACTCTTGGCAAATTGTTCTTTCTCCCTGTAGATCTCAACCCCCAGCAGAAGCATCTATCTTGATCAAATGTAAGCTAATTTTAATTTCTCTTCAAAAAAACAAAAAAAACAAAAAAAACAAAAAAAAAAAAAAAAAAAAAAAACGAATTCTTTTCCTGCCCTGACCAAAGCCATGAAGTATATAGGGTTTTGAGGGGCTTGCATCCAAACTCCAGAACTTGCTAGCTGCTCAATGACTTCCGGCCAATTGCTTAACATACTTGTTTCTTTAAGGTATAATTTCAGTACTGTCTTAGTCACTTTTCTCCTTGCTGAGACCTGACACCCACAATTTAAAGAAAGTGAGGTTTAATTCTGTTTTCGTTTCAGAAATTTCAGCCCATGCTCAAACACAGAATACACCATAGTGAAGGGTTTGCCACAAGCAAAGCTCTTCCTGCCAGTGGCCAGGAAACAGAAAGGGAATGGAAGAGGCAAATACCCTTTCCCTGCCAAGTCTCAGTAATCCAGCTCCTCAGGCCAAAACCCAGTTCCTAACTGAGTCAGCCATAGCGCCCCATAATCCAATCACCTTCCAAGCATGAGTCTTTCGGGGTCACTTAGATCTAAATTATAACAGGGGTAATAAAAGATATTTTGAAGATTAAATCTAGTAATATACTCAGAGGACTAAAGTGCCTGCTTAGGCAGAGCGCAGGGACCGGGGTTCCATCCCAGACACCATGTATGGTGCTGGCCCCGCAAACGGGGCACCCTGATAAGGTGATTGAAACTGGGAGTGGTTACCTATGCCTATAATACCAGCGCGTGGGAGGCTGAAAATAGGAGCATCACCAAGAGTCCCATCTGTGTAGTGTGACCCTGTACTAACTACATTAAAAAAATAATAAAACAGATGGCAAACAGTGGAAGTGCTCATTTTAGCACATGCTCTGTGTATTTGTTTGCAATTTTAGTGAGTTACCTTGAGAAAAATACTTATCCTGGTCCTCCTCATCCTCTGGTGATTTAATTTGTTGACTCGTTGAACAATGTGATTGAATTAACTCGGAGTTTGAGGAAAGGAGACCGGTCTCTCCAAGTTCAGAAGAGGCCACGTGGGTGATCCTGTAGAACAAGACATGGAGAATGCCATAAAAACGCACTTCCTAGTTTAGCTTTAGAAAAGAGAGTATCTGGGCTAACGCCCAGCCCACGTATAACCGCAGGGCTTCCCCAAGACAGTGCCCGAGAAGCCTGGCTACTAGAAACTGGGGCAGAGCCCCAGGACTGTGCTCCCACAAGGCTCCGGGAAGGGGTCAGCCCCAAACCCTGCCCGGGCGAGGGCCAAGAGGACCTCAGCGGAAGACCTACAACAGCCAATAGCCGGAACTGTCCCGCCTCCGTCCACGAAGCTTTTGGCGATTGGCTACGCGCCCCGCAGCTCTCCTCACTGCCCCGCCCCTGCCCACAGTCTTCACGGGGATTGGCTGCCCGTCCCTTTGGTCTGCCCCCGCCCCGCCCCGCCTTCCTAGTTTCTGCGCTGTGCAGAGGTCTCCGCCCTTTTTGTCCCGGGAGGTTGACGGTGAGCATCTCAAGGTTTTAGTTTCCCACTGAGAGGATCGTCGGACGCCTTGGGGGCCGGGGTAGGGTCTGGGTTCACCCCGTGTCCCCTCGAGCTTTGCCCGCCCGGATCTCTTCTGCTCCTGGCGGCCAGAACGGAGGGGTAGAGCAGTTCTCGGCGGCCTGGGGGGCGGGCGCCAGGCCCGTTCCGGGGCCGCCCGAGACACAGGCGCCGCGCGGGGCCGCCGGAAGTTCCCGGGGCCGGCCAGGCGCGGTGACAAGCTTGCGCTTTACTTCCACAGGGAGGATCCCCACGACATTTTAATGGTTTCCAGGCGGGCGTCTCCATCCCTGAGCAGGGCTGACCTTGGGCCCTGGGATTTGTGTCCGGCACGCGCTGGTCAGCAGCCTGGAATCCCAAGTGCAGGTATGGCCCGGATTTGGGGGCGAGATAAAGCGAGTCAAGCTCCGAGCACGTGGCCAGTGACCACGGAAGGGTTCCCAGGCGTATGGCTTGTGCAGGGGCCCGAAACCGACACTCCGTTGAACCGAAAGGACATTTATGTTCATGGACGCAACCAGCAGAATAGCAGCGTGTTGTGGGTTTTCAGACTTGTTAACGAAACTGTTGAAAGCCTCAGGATTAGCAGAGAATACTTAAAAATCTCAGTCTCCCTTTCCTGTGCCCTTTTAAGGATGACACAGTGCCTTAAGAGGCTAACACAGAAGGGTAAAGGAAGCCTCCATAAAACCCAGAGAAGAGCCTGAAACTCCTCTTTGGATCCTGTCTGGAGTCACAACTGAAGATGTGTTGGTTACACCACTGTGATGTTAGTGCATGATAATACTTAAAAATTAACCCTTGTTTCTGTATCTTCTGGCAAGCACTGTAGGTTGGTCTGGGATAGCTGATGTCTTTATAAGCGGTTTCGAGATCTAAAAATACGGAAGACTAGAGCATGTGTATTTCAGGCTCTTTTAGAAATGCATTGCAACAAACTGAAAAAAATATGCCTCAGTGTTTTCTTATTTAAAAGGTCACTTTAAAATTTTTCATTCTTTTTCTAGGTTGAACACTGCCAGTACAAGTTTTTGAAGCTGGGTGCTCCCGACACCAGTTGCCACTATAGTTGCTACAGGAAAGTGCCTCTGATGAGGTGAGATACCCTTAAGTGTATCTGGTGTGCTTTAAGAAGCAAAAACAAAAAACAGTGAATGTTGGATGGAATTTGGCTATCCAACAAAAAGGTAGGATCTTTCATTCCATAGAAGAGCACATCAAACCTTAGTAACAGTGTGACAAGTTTCAACTTGCCTGGGGCAGTAGTCAGAGCTCCAGTTGAGTGGCATTAATGATGGATCATGAACAACGCATTAACATGAAATTTTGTTTCAAGCTGCAAAAAAGTGCTAAAGAAACACATGAAATGTTAAAATTAGTGTATGGTGATGCTGCAGTAACCAGGAAGACTGTTTACAAGTGGTATGAGCGATTTCGTAAGGGTTGCGAGTATGTCAATGACGAGGAGCGGTCTGGACGTCCTTCCACCTCAAAAACCAGAGAGAATGTCGAAAGAGTGAGTGAAATGATTTGGTCCAACAAGCAGTTGACTATTCGGAAAATTTCTGAGGATCTGAACATCTCATATGGTACCGTACAAAGCATTTTAACGACAGATTTGAACATGAGGCGAGTGAGTCCGAAATGTATGCATCCGCAGCCACGGGAACTGGAGTTAGAGCAGTAATTCAGTGCCTGTGGTGACAGGGCAGTGTGTCCCTTTCATTTAACTCTCCTGAGGTAGGTGTTGTTCTGTTGGTGGCCACCAAGAGATGGTTAGGAGGGAACTGGGGCTCCCAGGCTTCCCACTATGTGAGTCACTGGACACGAGGAACCTCCTAAGGGTAACTTTGTAGCTATGTCAGTAATGTGATGCCTTGACATTTAATGTCTCCTTATAGCAGTAAAAAATACATACATTAGTCCAATTTGGGGGGAGCAAAACCAGAGCTGTTAGGAATATAAGCTCTTGATAATATTTAATTGCATTGAAAATAGTTCCCCCCTTAAAAAAAAAAAAAATCTGCCAGCCTGTCAAATTTTTTTAAATGTATGTGGTATAATTTGTGAAAAGGACTTAAAGGACATGATAGATTAGGCATGTAAGTATCAGAGGTGATAGTTTCATGTCGGAAGAAATGAAAGTGGTAAAGATGCTCCGAGCCCACATTTCTTGTACTCTGTCAGCATGTCCAACGATTGGATTTTTTTTTCGTTAATTTGTATGCCAATTATATATAATGCATTTTCCAAAATTTTTAAATAAAGATACTTTATATTTATTTGTTGTCAATGCTTATTTTTTTAAACTTGATTTATACCCCATATTGTATATATAAAGTCCAGCTTCAAATTCTTGAGGAAATGTTCAGCAAATGTTGCTTGTTATACCTGGTGGGACCAGTGTCCTGGGAAAGCAGTTCACCCTTTGTGACAGGCCCAGCTTGGGAAGGGCTATAAGTATGCAAGAACTCAATAATTAAGGGAGGAACATTTCAGGGAAAGGGAAAATAAAGGCAGTGAACAAGGATGTGTTTAAAGGTTTGTTCCGTTAGGTGTGATACACTAGTCCCAGCACTATTGGCAGAAAGATCACTGCAGGCTAAAGTCCTTCAGGGACTGTAGTATGTCTTGAAAGTTTTATGGGAAAATTCAGTCTGTTAAGATACTCAAACCAACTCTTCAACAGTGCATGAGTGTTTGAATTGACGTATCCTGTTGCAGTTAGAGAAATGTAACATTGTACAGTTACATATATGCTTGCCTAACCGCCCTTCACATTTGTCTTCATTCTTTTTGCGGGTCCTAGGCTATTAGATATAGTTCTGGTTCATGTAGGTTTGTACCTTTTTTTGGTACTGGGAATCAAACTCGGGATCTTAGTCTTGACAGGCAAGTGCTGTGCTGCTAACCTACATCCCCAGCCCCTATACCATATTCTAGGTTCTCTTTATTTCCCTTTTTTTGGGGGGTGGGTACTGGGGATTGAACTCAGGACTTCATACTTGGCAGGCAGGCACTTAGGCTGCTGAGCTATATATATCCCTGGCTAGGTTCTCACTTTGAGGCCTAACTCATTGCTAATACAACTAGTACATCTGGCACTGAATTAAATAGGGTATTTGGATTTTTTTATTTCAGAACTGGGGATTGAACTCAGGACCTTGTGCTTGCTAGGCAAGCGCTTATTCTAAGCTATCTCCCCAGCCCCCAAATAGGATATTTGAATGAGTGCCTTGTATGTCACCTATTCATAGTAGCATAATAAGGGCTTAGTTCCAAATCCAACCCTTCCATGTGATTTTTAGACCAGTTCTTACCTTCAGTTTCTGAAGCATAAATGAGCAGCAAGTGGTCAGTAAATGTTGGTAGTACTTTTTAAATCTTTTTTTTTTTTTTTTTTTCTTGGTGGAACCGGGGATTGAACTCAGACACTTGGGCTTGCCAGACAAGCACTTATTCTACTGAGCCATCTCCCCGGCTTTAAATCATTTTTAAAATCTCTGGTCAGTGTAATTTGGAACAAAGTTAATGTGATAACTAGTTTAAATGTTCATTTAATAAGTAAAGAGGGTATTCAACTGCAGGCCTAGTGCTATTACGAACATACCAGTGAATAAAGTAGGCCAAATGATATGGTTGGCTGCACATTTCAACTGTTCCAGTCACAGAGGAATATAGAACATGACTTTTTTTGTGTGTGGTACTGGGTATTAAACTCCGGACCTTGTGCTTGCCAGGCAGGTGTTTATGCCACTGAGCTATTCTTCCCCAGCCTGAACATTTCCATTACTACAAAGTACTTGGTTTCTTGAGAGTGCTGATTCATTAACAGTCCTCCGGGTAAAGGACCAAAGTTTCCTTAGTGCCAGTTAGCAGTGACAAAACTGACTTGTTACTGAAGGGGGAAAGAAAGGGTATTGGTAGGAAAAAAGGCCTATATGCGGTGTCATAAAGCTAAGTAGGTCAAGTGAGAAAGCCCTAAATTCTGGTAGAACAAGGAGTGTGCAAGATACCAATAATCCATATCAACAATGGTCTATTGAGAATGGGGAGAAAGGATGCCAGTGTTTTTTAGGTATGGTTATGAAAGGTGTAAAACTACAGGATATGTAAAGTTTGATGGAAGGCTCTAGAAAGCTTCAAGAATTGCTGGCTTCACATAATATCTATTGAGCCTAGTAGAGGCTCTTTTCACTGGAGTTACTTGAGCTCAGTGAGACTATAGAGACCCTAGGTCCTGACCCTCCCTATCCCACTACTCAGCTTCAACCAGTGGAGCCCTAGTCATCTTGTTTTTTCCAGAATTTGTAAAAAGTATGGGTAATGCTAAACAGATTGAAGTTCTTTAGCAGGTAAAACAGGAACAGTCTCAATCAGGGAAGAAACTATAGAGGAAGGTTATTTGAGGGTACCTCACTACTGGAACTACAGCTGTTCAGTGTGATAGGCATTAGTAATAAGGCTATTTAGGTGAAATTAAAAATTTAATTGCATTAGCCACATTTCACATGCTCAATAGTTGAGGCTAGGGGCAGCCTAGATATGGGACATTTACATTTCTGCATTTCTACTGGCAATACTGTTAAATGGTACAGTTACGATTGAGGACTTTTTTTTTTTTTTTTTTTAATGGGATTAAACCCGGGCCTTGTCACTGAGCTACATCTCCACCTTTTTCTTTTTATGATACCATGGATCAGACTCAGGATCTTACGCTTGCCAGGCAAGAGCTTAAGCTACTAAACTATCTCACCATCCCTTCACCCATTTTTACTTTTCTATTTTTTAATTTTTTTTTTTATTTTTTGTATTTTTAGGGAAGGATCTACAAGGTGTTCAGGTTCTCAGTGCTAGATCAGACTCCCAAGAGCTGGGATTACAGGTGCACGCCACCACACCCGGTCTCTACTTTCCATTTTTTAAAAAAAATATAAGGTATGGTCTTACTAAATTTTCCAGGGTAGCCTCATTCATACCTGCAGTCTTTCAGCCTTACCCTCCTACAGTGCTATGGTTACAGGCATGTGCCACCTCACATGGCAAGATTAACAGGTTTCACATGGGAAGATGATTGTCCTCGATAGTCCCGGGGACCTTCTTGGAATCACAAGATTGTTAGTGAGAGGTAGAAGTTCCACACACAGAAAGTAGCCATATGAACACAAAGAGATTTGAAGATACTGACCTTTGAAAATTAGAGTGAGTCAGCCAATAGAAACTTCAAAATAAATATGTTCGCCAGAACAGCGCCCAACTTCCTGGGGGAATATGGGCTTGATTTTGTTACTGGGTTTTGGGGTGTTTGAATTTAGAGATGGTTTCTGGTTCTGTCTTTGTCAAGATAAGCACAGATTGTAAAATTTTTACATTTACTGAAGATAGCCATTCTATCAAAACCCTGCTAGAGTTCTAAGAAGTCCTGGTGCAGGGCCTGGGAGTTACTCTACACACATCGCCTGGGATTTTGTAATTAACAAGTCATGCCTGCTTGCCCAGTTTGCTTTAGTCTAGCTTCCTATCTGAGTTTGGGATAGGAAAATGGCATCCGGTGTTGGGAAATGAATTTCAGTTGTTTTAAACCACCAAGGATATGGTAATTTATTGTAGTTATTACAGTGAATTAACAAAAGTTGAAGAGCACAAATACTGCTGGCTTTGGAACCTCACCACACTACACTGCCTCCCACACTTTTTGTTAGTGCCTGATGAGTGGGTGGGAGTAGAACTTATCTCTTAGTCAATTTCTAAGTGTCAGGTTTGGCAGTGAATTTAAAATTGATTTAAATAGACACAGGGCTGTTGTAATATGCTGGGAAAGCGACTGGAGCTGCAGATTTCAGAAACATATATTAAATTCAGAAGACTCCTGGGCAAGTGACTTTCTGTCCAAGTATGGGAAGTGGCTGTACTTATTTGGGGTACCTGCCCCACACTTGTTAAAAATCTCAAGACTACCCAGTAGGACGGGACAACTGCATCCGATTGTTTCCCATACTGTCCTGCCTGCGTTCAAGCTGCTTAGATGCCTCTCAGTCTTACTACTG